ATGTCTTTGCATGAAAAAATTGTTTCTGTTCCACAGTTTCCCCTCAAGCACACAGAATATTCAACGTCTAGGCTCTGCACCTAAAAAACAGGTTATGGACCACCACCACAATTGCTACCCCATTTCCCCATGTAAGCAGCCTGATCACCCTGTGGAAAGTGCTCATAAAGGATTTTTTTTTGCCCGCATATCTAAAGGAAATGTGTTCCTTGATCCATTCTAACAGTTTTGCACTCTCTCACCCGAAGTGATCACCCTATGTTTTCAAGAATTTCCAGCTTAAGAGTTGGGTGAGTATGCTTCTGAATGGCATGGGCTAGACTATCAACAGTGAAGAAGTGCCTCAGATGTCTGGAGATTGCACAAATCACACTTCTATTTATACCTCTCTTCATAAAAGGTTCACAAGTCTCAGGTCCTTGGACATACACTCTATAGCCTGCTGCTAGGACCTGTTTTCGGGTATCATCTGCTCTGCTTTACGTTTGGTTGGCGTTGACGGAAGCAAGAAAAGTCCAATGGTGGAAGACGTGATGGATCACGTCCTTTGCAAGGACAGGAACCAAACTGGACTTATGCAGAAGTTGAGGCACTGATTAAAATTTGGGGTGAAGGGAAAGTGCTGGAACTGGAAAACTACAGGAATAAACTTGTTTACATCTCTATTGCTGAACAATTAGAGAAACTTGGCATCAAACATGACTAGGAACAGTGTCGCAGTAAGATGAAGGCCTTAAAGTGTGCCTTCCAGCACGCAGAGGACAATAATTCTTGGTCTGGTGCCTCATGTAGAACGATTCCATTTTATGACAAGCTGTCTATCATCCTTAAAAGAGATGCTTGCCTGACCAAGTCTGGGACAAGAGGTTTGCAGGACGAGGAACCAGAAGCTCCTTGGCGCTGAAGTACTTGTCAAGCCAAGGCTACTTTGCAAGTTCCATTTTTGGTTTTTACCAATTTTCACTGATAAATTGGCGGATTAGTTTATTGAAGTTCATCATTTTTTACTGATTTACACACGGTCTTTAGTTCACAGGTTTCTGGTGTGGTAGGGTCCCAGCTGCATCCTGTGGGCTGGGAGCGGGCCCCCGGAGGGGCAGGAGGGAGAGCGTGGCCCCGCTCCTTGTGGAAGGTACTGCACCCGGGCACTCTGCATGGACCCACGGGGCTGGAGCCAATGCCCAGAGATGTGAAGATCCAGGCTCTCATCCCCAGTGGGGTCTCTGCAGCAGGGGCTGGAGTAAGCAGGGACAAGCCCCACTGAGCCCTGGAGCCCCCCACAACTCTGCTTGTTTCCACTCACCCCAGTGGGCAGCAGCGGGCCATGGAAATGTTGAAGCCAGCTGCAGAGGAAACTGCATTTTGGTGTGGGGCGCACGGTGCAGGGCGGGAGGGCATGGCTTTTGCTTGTACGCACACCCCAAGAAGGCTGCAGGCATTGGGGCTGAGTCAGTCTGTTTCTGGGGTCCACGTGCCCCCAGATCTACATGTGGGACAAGAGCAGGTGGGGGACACTATTTCCCTTAAATCTAACCTACTCCCTGGTGGGTGGATGGTGCTATGTATTTTTCAGGGGGAGCTACAAGGTACAGGCAGGTGAAGGACTAGATGCCTTGATACTAGGCCAAATATTTTGGGGGTACAGCCTTAATAAGATGTTTGGGTGCTAGATAGTGTGCTGTCACGGGTAATTCTTGTAGTGGCTGTCCTGTTAAAATATTTTAAGAATGACTCTCTGTTGTTTAATAGTACCCTAAGACCCGATGAGAGCTTTCTTTTTCTCTGTGGATAGCAAACCTTACCTCCTCGAGAACAGCTGGTAATGCTCGATGTCAGTGTAATTATAGAAAAAATTAAAAAGCAGCTAAGGAAAATATTCCTCATCTACTAACAGATGCGCCCGAAAACTTAGCAATGTCCAGTACCAAAATGACATCTGAAATTAAAGATGCGTTCAGTGTCTTAAAGAGGAATGAGGAAGCTGATTTAGAGGTTATGAAAAGCATGAGTAATGAAATGCTACAATTAATTCAATGAGAACGGTGATCTCATTTTGCGGGTGGATCAAAGGTTTAGACAGGGGTTTCTAACAGAGTTTCATGATGGCTGATGTACTGGGAGCACGTTGACAATAGACCACCCCAAAAAACTCTCCAATCTTTTGCACAGGAGAGCTGTGCCTCCTCTAGCCACAAGAGGAGAGCCCCAAAGCACTTCAGGGATGATGAGCAGGAGGATGCTGATGTGACCCAGGGACGGTGCAAGAGGGGGGGATTTCGTGGGGGAGCAGGTGCTTGACTAAAGCAAGAGTGTATACAAGACAGGTGATGGGATGCTCTATGACCCCCGGACTGGTGTGCTTCTCCATCATGTACTGTCACACCCGTATTCTCAAAGCTGACTGCGCTTCAGTCTACTGGGGGTGGGTGGGGGCTCTGTGAACCAGGTTAGCTTCACAATCTGTCTGTCTTTTCTACCTATCTACTTTAGGAATTTTTTATAAAACCACGTTAGACATAAAGTATCGCAAAGGACTTTGGAAAGTGTATGGAAAATAAAAATACAGAACAAGTGCAGGTTTCAATTCCACTTTAAATCCAGCTATGTTCCAGACTCCAAAGAGTACAAAACTGTCAGTAGCAATCCAAGTCCCCTGTTCTAACAACAGAAATGCCTGTGTGTTCTCCCACCAAGACAACCCCGACAATACCCCGACTCTTGCATGCCATGGCTAGGCAGTGCAATGGCTGCACCACGACATGACCAGGCAACACAAGCCCAGAAGAGTGTGCTTGACAAGGCTGGCTGGTTAATGCAGAGGCGAATACGTAAGTAAATCTTCAATAATACATTGTACAGTCCTGAATTATATACACAAACCAAGAGGGAGGCTTTGGAAATTCTTTAATGATACAAAGCTCTCTGGAAGGGTGGGTTGCCCTTTGCCCCTGCATCCTAGAGGTAAGTGGGGCTTGGGGGCTGCGAGGCAGGGATGGGGAAGGTGGCTGGGGGCTGAGGGAGAGGGGGCAGGTGTGAGGGTAGGGGTGCCCCTCTGCGGGGGGCTTTGTGGGCAAGCGATGTGGGGCACGCATGCCACCCAGCAAGCTGCCTGGGGGAGGGAGAGCCTCGCATGCAGACAGCTGCACAGCTCTGTGGCCAGCTCTGCAGCGGTGGCGAGGGATCGTAGCTGCGGGATGGGGGGGGACTCGCATGCAGCCGCTGCTGCTGCTTAACTGTGGGGCCATGTCAGTGGAGATGGCTGCTGCATACAAAAGCTCCCGGTGCCACCGCGGAGACATGCCTGGAGCTGTGTGGCCGGCCGCAGGACAGCAGTGGCAATGTGGTGGTGGCTGGGTGGCATGCGGCCATCCCCACCACCACCCTGCGCCGCATGGTGGCCACGGCCACCACCACACTGACACTCTGCGGCCGGCCCCACAGCTCCGAGCACGGCTCTACAATGGCAGAGGCGGTGCGGGCAGGTTTTGTACACAGCGGCCATCACCGCTGGCACACAGGTTCTCCCAGGATCTGGGCTGGCCTCTGCCTAAGAGGTTGCCTTTTATCCCATCCCCTGCATCAAACCTTGGCGTCAAGCCTGTGTCCTTTGGGTTCTGCAGTGCCCTATCAGGGCTGAACAGTGGGTGGACTCTTGCTCCACTGCACCAGCATGAAGCTACTTCTCTGGATGCAAACACTGGTAGGTGCTCAGCAGGTATACGCCCCCAAGCCCTTCCTGCATTGCTGGAAGCATTACAGATGCACCCGTATGAGACTGAACTGGTGCTAGCCCAACTTGGAGAAGCAGAGGAAACATTTCCAACACTAACCACTAATGTGCTTTCTTCTCTATGTGGATGAGCTGGTGCCGGGCCAGGCTGGAGGATTGGGTGAAGCTCTTCCCACACTCCGAGCACTGATGTGGCTTCTCACCTCTGTGAATAAGCTGGTGCCGAGTCAGGTTGGAGGATCGGTTGAAAGTCTTCCCACACTCTGAGCACCGATGCGGTTTCACTCCCGTATGGATGAACTGGTGTTTGGTGAGGTTGCAGACCTCTCTAAAGCTCTTCCCACACTCTGAGCACTGATGTGGCTTCTCACTTGTGTGGATGAGTTGGTGTTGGGTCAGGTTGAAGGATCGGTTGAAGGTCTTCCCACACTCTGAGCACTGATGTGGCTTCTCCCCCGTGTGGATAAGCTGGTGTTTGGCCAGGTCGGAGACCTGCCTGAAGCTCTTCCCACACACTGAGCACTGATGTGGCTTCTCACGTGTGTGGATGAGCTGGTGCCGAGCCAGGGTGGAGGATTGGCTGAAGTTCTTCCCACACTC